TCCTGCCCTGAGTTCCTACCTTGGGCTCCCTGATGAACTGTGACCCAGGAGATGTAAGACAAATAAACCTTTTCCTCCACAAGTTGGTAGTGGTCAGAGTATTTTGTCACAGCAATGGAGAGACAAGCTAGGATGGGTGTGAATGGTTGGACTTTTTGCGTGATCTCTAGTATATGAAATGCAGGGCCCTAGACTCCATGTAACTATCAGGCAGAAAACTTACAGAAACCATTCCTAGAAGAAGCTTGGCACTTCCAAATTCAGGAATGACACCAAAGAAAGTAGAAATCATCACATCTCATTTGCTAAGACCACAGCAGCACAATTTGATGGTGAAGAAACGGCAAACTCACAAGTCAGTGAGAGCAAAGTGCAAATAGACATCACAGGGAAATTTACAGCTGTTTTCTGTTAATATCCAGTGAAAGATACTTAACGATATTTATGCAATAGCTTTATGTCTTTGAGTAAGTTTTTTACATCATTTAACTTTGTACCTGATAGATAAAGTAGCCTATGGATGAATCCAGTTGATCAGGAGAAAGGACCAGGACACAGATAAAACTCCATCGGAATAGAGTTTATTAGCAAAGGAACACATGGGACAGATTCCCTTCCGGGCAGGGAAAATGTCTGTCCAGGTCATGAGCTGGGATCTTTTTAAAAGGGGGAGGCTTCTGCTTCCTGCAGAAGGTGGGAAGATATATTTTTTTAAAAGTTAGGTGAAGGGGGGGAGTAGGAGAGTGGGACTGTTAAAACCTGTTCTCTTTAGAGATCAAAGGGGAAGCCTGCTGTGTTGGCCAAAAGGTGGAGAAAAGTCTGCTTCTCTTGACTTCAAAGACCAGGGTGCTTATCAGCAGCTTTTCTCAGGAGCTTGAGAAGTCTGTGAGACCCTGTTGGTGAGGGGGTGGGCCTATCTGAAGCTTAACAGTACCTGGGACAGATACATCTAGCCACAGATAGCTTTTAATAGAAATGTAATTCCCACCAGTTTGGGCTACAAAGACTTCCTACTTTCTCCTCTGTGGGAACAGAATGTAGTTTGTGAAAATGGATTTCAGGCAAAGAAAGTGCTTGGTCTAGAGAAGCAATCATTTTTCATTTTCTTCTTTAGGAGTGGTTTTCAAGGGCTTAATGCACACTAAGGGAAAGACAGTAGGGTTAACTTAATGTTACCAGTGGTAACCAGAACCATGAGTCTTTCTCACATGACTGTGGAGCCGAGATGGCACCTAGAGAAATCTGATGGAGCACAGGGAAAGTCTGGGCCTTCAGAACAGATTTGAGAGGAGAAATCTTGGTCTTCCTTTGCCTCCATACCACAGCCTGTTGTCACTGACATTTACATAGAATTTTGCAATCATAAAGCATCCACAAATATCACTTCATTTAGTTGCCCCAAACTTCTACTGAGGAAACAGATTGGAGGGAGCTTGTGTAAAGTTGTATCACCAGAAAAGTGACATGTTTACCACCAGAATTCGTTTACAGGACTTTTCCTCATTCTGCCCCTTTTTTGCAGATATGGTGTTGCAGATCACTGTGAGAATAGTGGGCAGGCTCGCTTACAGACAGGTTTTCACAGGTTATTTCCTAAAGTAATGCCAGACTGTTTCTGCCCTCAAAGTATCCTACTTTGTAAATTGAGAGTTATCGCAACATCGCAAGTCAAGTGATATTAAGAAGGAGGAGAGCATGGGGTGGAGTGGAAGATGAACAAGAGATCAGAAGAGGTCCAGGGGGAGTGGTCTAGGTGACCAGGCAGCCTCTCTGATTTCATGTCACAACACAGTTTAGCCGTATGAGGTTTGGGAAGAGAGGTAGGAATCTGCAACTTCATGCATGATGGCTTGACTGTCAATGTCAGCTGGACAGGATTTAGAATCACTACCTCTGGGCATGTCTGTGAGATCATTTCCCAAGAAGTTTAACTAGGAAGGTAGACTAGCCCTGAAAGTGGGTGGAAGCATCTCATTGGGGGTCTTGGGACTGATTAAAAAGGAGAAAGCAATGGGGCCAGCATTGACTTCTCTCTGCTTCCAGACTGTGGAGGGGATATGACCAGCTGCCTCGTGCTACTACCGCCACAAACTCTTCCATGATTCCCTACCATGATGGACAATACCCTTGAACTACAAACTGAAGTAAAATAAATCCTTCTTTAAGTTGTTTCTTGTCAGGTGTTTGGTTCCAACAATGGAAAAGTAACTAGTACAGGGCCATGCAATTAGCAACACGCCTGCTGCACAAGTGTGAAAACCTGAGTTCAACCCCCAGAGCTTGTGTAAAAAAGATAAGTGAGGTGGTGCACATCTGTAATAACAGCTGGGGAGGCAGAGCCTGGTACATCTTGGAGCTTGATGAACAGACCACCTGGCTGAAACAGTCGGCTTCAGGTCCCAGTGATCAAGGATGCCGGGGGCTATGTGTGGCGTCAAGAACATAGCTAGCTCTCAAGTGAAGTGGGAAGTCCACTCTAGAGAACCAGTCCTCCCAAGACTAGAATCTGCAATTGATGGAGACCTTTCCTGGCCCCAGGAGGGGACCTTAGCTTCAGGTTCACAGGAGGAGATCACCATTCCAGTTGGTGGGAAGGGACCACAGCTCCAGCTCACAGGAGGGGACTACAGGTACAGGTTCACAGAAGGGAACCACAGCTCTAGCTCATGGGAGATAGTCATAGCTCCAGCTCACAGGAAAGGACTACAGCTCCAGGATTTTGGAAGGAGATCGCAGCTCTATGCTTATGAGAGACAACCACAGCTCCAGGATCACAGGAGGGGATCACAGCTTGAAGTTTATAGGAGGTGACCACAGTTCCAGGCTTACAGGAGGGGTCATAATTTCCACTACACTAGTTGTTAGCTCCTCTTATTTCCCTGTTGTTATTGCTCGTCTTCATGATTGTACTGTGTTCAAGGAGCATTCTGGCTTCTGTGCAGCAAATGGAGGCAACAGATACTTGCTGGCTTGAATTTCTTGATAGAGGAACAGCAGTACTGGAGAAAACCAGTTTTTGCTTTTGCGCTGGAAGACAGATGGACTGTTTCATTTCATGTCAAAGATCTGACTTTTTTTTTTTTGGTGTTTGTGGTTTTCACATCTTCCTCCTTGGCCAGGGGAAGCCAGGGACGAGACATTTTACTGGAGTCATGTTTTACTGAGGGCTGTCATCCTGGCTCTCCAGTTATTTTCTTTCTTACTGGCGGAGTCCTTTCTCACCTGTGCCTGGTGCTCTGCCCTCATCCTCCTTGGAGTTAGTCACCTGGGTGATGATAGCTGAGTGACCATGGGTACATGGCTCTGTGACTGCCCGCAGGCCCTGGCTTCTGGTGAGAGGATCCACAGTCCTTATAATTACTAGAAATAAAATTTCTGGTTCAAAGGGCATAAAGTATTCTATGGCTTTTAGTGTGTGCTGAAAATTGTGCCTTGAAAACTTTTCAATATTTGGAATTGTTTGTGGCTGGCATACCACTTGCCAGGCACTATTGTATTGACACAATTGGTAGAGTTGTTTTGATTTTATATTATCTGGTCTTCAGTTTCTTTACCTAAGTAAGGAAATGGCATCCTTACCTAAGGATGACCATGGTATCCATCTCACATTGCTGTTGTGGGGATGAAGGTGAATATGAAGTATCTGTAGTTCTCCAAGGAAGTGTGTCCCTCCACCTCTCTCCAAGGAAGACCATGTCTGCTGTCTTGGGAACTTCACGAG